CCCCCCCCCCCCCCCAGTATTTTGTTCTCCATACTCTCACATGGTTTAAATAAGGCCTTAGTGTCCTTTCTTCCAGATGGGTATACTCAAATGAATCTGAGTTTATGAACATGTGCCCGCTTCATTCACACTTGCATCAAGGTGTATGCCTAAAAATGCAGCGTGTGAAAAGGCTCTAAAATAGAACATGAGACAGTGAGACTCTGTTGCCCAAATTAACCTTCTTTAACATATTCAGAGACCTCAGAAAAACGAGACTCAGTTCAGGTCTTCACTAACTAAAATTTAAATGTTTTAAAGGTGAAGATCCATGGAGAATGTTTTAAGTCATCAGACGACTCATCACACATTAAAATTGCTCTTCATTTTCTTTGGAAGTCCTTGATTTGTCAAGCCACCAGGCAAATTCCAACAGAGTTAGACAGGCAGATTTTCCTATCTTTAGATGTCCTCTGATTAAGCTGATAGCTTATGTACTGGGCTCAAAATCCGTGAATCGTCTTTTAAGCTGTGGGTGCAACTGTAGCAATGCCATAGAGCGTTCATGGACATTGCAATAGCTGAGGGGAAAGGTCAGTGGAGGGCTCCTGAAAATCAATGTAGCTTCTGTGAAGGAAACTGAAAGCTGGTTTGTTTGGGGTGGGGAAAAGGCCTCAAGGAAGGTCTAGGGGACAAGGAGACTTTTGTGTTTCAAATCGACGAAAGCAAAGAAGAGTTTAGGAGGAAGGAAGTTTGGGAGACCAGGGGGACAAGAAAACAGGAAGAAAACAGGAGAAACCCTCACATCAAACTTGGAGAGAAGGAAGGCCTGAGTGTTGCTCATGAGGAAAGAGCTACTGTATATATCCCACATCCAAACCAGTCACATCTTGGTCTGAAGGTGTTTGTTTGCTTTTACATGCATGCTTACCTGAATATTGGTGTGTTTGCTGCACGTTGACTTGGCCCCTTCTTTGGTCCTTATAATCCGGTGGTGGTCTTGTAAGGTGTCTATTCAGTTGATCTTGAGGGGTTACTTTCTCCTACAGGGTGAAGAAAAAGAGAAACCCATTGCTATTTATTTCTACTGAGGTCACAAAGTTGAACTGAATCACCTGATAGCATATACATACATTCAAAGATGCATCCTCAAAGGAGACCCTGCTTCATTGATGCAACAGAGGAGAAGCAGCTGAGGAGCTGTGGATATTTGTTAAACAAGCTTCTCCAGTTTGATGTCCCTCAGAGGTGCTGGAATTAATTTTGGGAGCTAAACTTTCAACAATGGTGGGCAACAGGTTGGGTTAGCCTGTAGGGATAACTGTAATTTCAGGTTGTGCAATATGGAAACCCCATAGATCAAATGAAATGTTGGTATATTGTTTGGGATGAAAACAAATATTAAAAGGAACTGTTGCTGGGTCATATCTGTTAGTTCTAGGAAAAGGCTACAAATGAATACAAACAACTTAGATGATCTGGACAGAATAATAGCATCTTTTTCTGATTTCCTCTGATTCTTATTCTCTCATGATCTTATATACCAAACCTAGTTATATGGGCCTAGCATGCTATGTCAAGCACTTCACACAATTATCTGAGGTATAAGAAACTTGTCATGCAACACAATATTATTGTACCTGTTTTGCATTTGAGGAGAAAGAGAATATGCTTTATACAAGGCTGTTGAAAAGAGGAGCAATTTGAATCTGGAACTGTTGTTAGTTCACCTTTAGTTAATCTGGCAAAGCAACTAGGAAAAAAGGGGTGGGGAACTTTGCAACAGAATCTGCCTACAACTCCTCCTTTTTTTTAACTTTGCATTTTTTTTCTCCTTCTGGCAAAATGCATTCACTCTTCCTGCAGGGGGAAGGCATTTCCAGTCCAACTGTGCAATTTTCACACAAAATAAGGCTTCTGGAGAGCAAACCAAGTTTTGCCTGAAGAAATACAGGGGATATACATGGGTGGTCCTTGTGCATTGCCAGCATCTGCTAAAAAAGGGAATGGTACTTGCTGCTCTGTACCGACTTCTCAGCTGCTCTGTAACCTGCTACCCTTGTGGATGAAAATACAAAATTCCCACTCTTTGTCTGCACTCAGATCTTTGTTGACTTCTGCACTGAAGTCCTGCTCTAATATTATTAGTTCCACAAATCATAGCTTGCCAAGCTATGATTCATCTGAAACAGAAACAAAACCTGTGAGGAGAGCAGGGAAACATACAATCCTGAAACTTATCATGCATAAGATGCCTCTGAAGCCTGGTTGACCATCTTCCTCCTGACTGCCTACTATGACGTCAAGATTTCAGAGATTTTTTTTGGCATCTGCTCCCTGACCTTGCTAACTAGAAGGCCACTTGGAACCTAGGACCTTCCCCATAGGCAAGACATGTTCAACCTTCATGCTCCTACTTCTGAAGTACGCTTGTGGATTCTGCAGAACTCCCAGGCCTGGGGAGTGCAATTCAGATTGCTCCAAATTTCTCAAGTGCCAAATGTTTCAAACAGGCTGGGCAGATCTTTTCTCACACTTCTTTTTTGAATCCTGGGAGGTAGTTTTATATATAGCTAAAATAGAAAATGGGGATATTTACTGCTTCTGTTAGTATTTGCTGCTGCTGCTGGTGCTGCTGAAGGAGAAATTGTTGTTTCAGCTGCTGATTCAGCAATGCTTGTTGTGATGAGTTGATGTAGTTGGTTCCAGTGTTTGCATTTGTGCATGTGGCAGATCCTGGGTTGGTGCCTCCACTTTGACCCAAGACAGTATGTTGATCCTGTAAAAGAAAAAGAAAAGATGGGATGAGTAAAAAGATATACAAAAATTCATACAAGCAAGAATTGAAAGGAAGCAGCCGTGTCCCTATCGTCTTAGAGGGTGATGAAAACAAAGATCCTTCTGTCTTAAGCTGTGGAGTGTCTTCTGGAGGAACTTGGCCAAAGCATATTCTGAAAAAAAAAATGATGTGGCTATCCTTGCATGTGAAGTGAAAACCTTGAAGCTCAAAGGAACCAACTGAATTATCCTGGAACTATTTGAGAAGCTGTCATAGTAATTAGTAGTGTGATTACAGAGCACCAGCTATATCCGCAGATATAATTATGCAGTTATAGTATTTTATTCCTTTCTCCTACTGTTTGGAGGAGGGAGGGGCACACATATTTTTCTATCAGTGAACCCCATTTTCAGTTGCTTTCATTATATATTGACATATTTTGTCTGTCTGCAAATGTTTACCACATTTTAGCCTGATGAACAAGCAGAACCCTAGCTCTGATCTTGCACATGAAGACAACTGATTCTAATGGCCGATACCATCAGAGGATAGGGATCTTATCTGACCTCTGTTCTAATGGTGTCAAGCCATATTTTCTTCCACATGCAGGTTTGTTGATCACACATTTTGTTATATTAAATACTGCTTTGAAAAGCTCAAGTTGAAACGGCTCAGGGGTGAAATCAATCCATCGAATTTACCCCTGAAATAAATTATTCACGTGAAAATTTGGGGAACCTGCCACAGTAAGGAATGGGAAAAAAACCTTTGCATAGATTGCAATGGGTGGCCCAGCACTTACTGACAGAAGTAAAAAAAAAAAAAAAAAAAAAAGGGGGATAATGGGGTTTTTTGTCCGAAAGTCAATGCATCTCTGATATACCAACCGAATGGGAAAAAAACCTTTGCATAGATTGCAATGGGGGGCCCAGCACTTACTGACAGAAGTAAAAAAAAAAAAAAAAAAAAAAGGGGTATAATGGAGTTTTTTGTCCGAAAGTCAATGCATCTCTGATATACCAACCCTTCTTCAAATTTTGTTTTATATTGAGACTTGAAGCTTCCCTTTCTACTAGGCAAGATGCATTGTCTTCTCCTTGGTTCAATTTCTTTGCACAATAAAGGCTGGAAAAAAACAATAAGAAATTGTATGCGCATATGGCTCTCTCTGTGTGTGCATGTGTGAAATCGGAATGGCTGGAGTCTTTCTTTTTTAAACACTGTTGTGGCCAAGAAACAAAACCAAGGGCTGATGATGTATTTAACCTGGTCTAAGCTGTGGGTAGGGAAATTCTGGATCTCCATGGCTCCCATCGAATTCTACCAATCATATTTAAATGTTCTGCGACTGCCAAGACCAGAGCTGTAGGATTGAACTAGCTGCTCACCCAGGAAGTTATAATTTAGTTCCTATCCATTGCTCTTTCTGAATTCCAGTCACTCATTGTTTATTTTATATCCGGCTAAGCATTATTACTCACTTCTTCTGTCAAAAAGCTAATTAGGCCAGCTTATGAGAATGTAAAACAAAGCAATATAATCTAGGAACAAATCACCAATAAAACTGTACAGCCAAGGACTTAAAATCCTTCCATGAGGAGCCAAAGGGCTGTGGTAAAAGGTAAAGTCTCCTTTGAGTCAAACTTGACCCCTGACAACTACATGGACATAACCATAGTTTTCTTGGCAACAGAAGTGGTTTGACGCTGCCCCCTTCTGGGACTTTTCCCCCCCAACTTTTCAGTCTAACCTACAGCACTGGATTTCCTGGTGGGTTCCTAACCAAATATTAACCGGTTCCGATCCTGCTTAGCTTTTTCAACATCAGCCAAGCTCAAAATCATCTTCACTGTCAATGTCAAAATATGGATTAGGTGGACATTCTCACCACCACAGTAAGAAAGTCTATACTGATTGACTGATTTGATTTATCTCACTTTAAAAGACATGGCACTTAAGGTGAAAGGAAGATTCTACCCATCCACCTCTTCTCCAGTGACTTTAACACCAGCTTCACTCTCTAGCAGATCACCAAGCCAACCTATATCATTCTGAAGTGATCCTCAGAACAATGCATTATGAGATGCTCACAGTCCTGCCTATATAGGCAGTTATCATGGCCTACTAATAAATAACGTGTAATGGTAAGGTCTCAGATTGGTAAAAATTCAGATGATGATTATGGAAACAATCAGATGCAAGCTGTTCCATTATAAATGAAACACACACACACACACACACAACGTCTTGCTGGTTCTCAGGAAGACCGTTAGAAAGAAACCAAAAAGTGTTTGCCCTAATGTATTAGAGCATAATCTGATTCTAAGCTGGAGATAGTTCACTTGCTGAAATTCTTGGAACCCCATCACCTTCATCTTCATAAATCTTGCTAAAGAAGAGTCTGCTAGACTCTTTCTTGGAAATAATTACTTTAAGTTTGAGGCAGTTACCAAAGAATGTGACACAACGTAAAAATATACTAACAGCTCTGCTGAATCCAGCATTTTATTTCTTACAGTGGCCATCCTGATGCCTCTAGTATGGAGCTCTGAACAGGAAGTGGGGACGTATCCCTCTCCTACCACTGTTTCCATGCAAATGGTATTTGAATGCATGCTACCCCGAACCTGGGGGCACCGCTGACACCAACAACCCTGATTGACTCATCTTCCATGAATTTATCCAATCCCTTTTTGAAGCCATTCAAATTTGTGGCCATTAGTATGTCTTATAATGAATTCCACATGTTAATTATGCACTGGATGAAGAACTGCTTTTTTATCTATTTTAAATTCTCCTCCGAATCAGTTCAATTAGATGTTACCCTACTATTTGGAGAGAACAGAAGAACTTCATGCTGTCCACTTTCTTCAGCCCTTGTATCACTTTAAGCACCTGAATTAGGTTCCCCAATCACCTTTTTTTCCAAGTCAGGGAGTAGTAAACATTCTAGCCTTTTCTCATAGAGAAGATATTAAACCCGTCCTGAATATATTTGTTGCCGTCTTCTGCATGTTTTTCAGCACTATTATGCTCTTTTTCAAGTGACTAGAACTATACACGGTACCCCAGAAACAGATATACTGTAGATCTGTATAAGAACATTACAATGTTGGCATTTTTACTTTCAGTCCTTTCCCTCATTATCCCTAGTGTGAAATTTGCCTTTTTCACAAGTGCCACACATAGAGTCAACACCTTCATTGAGCTATCCACTGTGACCTCAAGATCTTTTTCCTGGATGGTTAAAGATAGTTCAGGCCTCATCAATGTTTATATGAAATTAAGGGCTTTTGTTCCAACATGCATCTGTTCATGCTTACATTAAATTGTATTTGCTGTTTGGTTGACCATTCACCCAGTTTAGAGATATCTTTCTTGAGCTTTTCACAGTTATAGATTAGGTTTTTCCCATCCTGACTTGTTTAGTGTTATTTACAAACCTGGCTGGCTCACTGCCTTCTCCTAAGTCAAGAAAGTAATTTATGAACAAGTTAAAAAGCACTAGCTCCAACACAGATCCTTGAAAGACCATACTTCTGACACCCTTCCATTAGGAAAATTGCCCATTTATTCCTACTCTTTTGCTTTTGGCTTTTTAATCAGACGGGAATCCATAAAACCAGAGGTCTTCTTATCCTGTGGCTGCTAAGTTTACTCAGTAACCGTTGATGAGGAATGTTGTCAAAGACTTTTGAAAATCTACATATTCAGTGTGAATAGGGCCACCTCCATTTACACATTTTTGACATTCCTCAAAACTCTACAAGATTGGTGAGGCAGGATTTGCCTTTGTGGAATTCATGTAGATTTTCTTTCAGCAAAACTTGTTCCTCTATATGCCTTAAAAAAAAAAAAATCTTAGCATTTCTGCCAATTTGCCTGGAATAGACATGCTGAGTGGCCTATAATTTCTCTGATCTCTTTTTAAAACACTGATGTCCCATTGGCTACCTTGGGGGGTGGGATGGGGACAGGTTAAAAAGGTTTATCAGAAGGTCACATTTCACATTTCAGTATTTTAATAACCCTTAGTGGATGTCATTGGGACCCAGTTATTTGTTACCATGTAGTCTCTCAAGATGTCCTACAGTATCTTCTCTTGTTACCTCAATTTACTTTAGTTCTGATTCTTCCCTGAAAAAGTCAGGCAGGCAAAGGTATCTGTCTTGTATCTTCTGTAGCAAAGACAGATGACAAGAATTCATGCAGTTTTTCTGGGTCTCCATATCCTCATTGAGATCTCTTTTTATCCATCATCTAACAACCCAACACTTTCCCTGGCTAGCTTTCTGTTTCAAATATCTTTGAAGAAGTTCTTAGTGTTCCAGTTATGGGATCACACATAAGGGAAAGGAGCACTGAAAACACTATGTGGAGTAGCCCTATGACAGCCCTTAACAACTTATCAACAAAAGGGGTCCCTTTACTTCTTTAGCCCAAAGATGTTCCAATGGTTCTATGAATCAGAAAGAAGCACTTTTTCCAATGTTTCCTTGAAACCATGGGTCCAGGGAGAGACAGATTCTTTCTTGGGCCACAGATCAGTTTCTGTGGCCTTGCAGCAACTTAGACTTACACAACAATCAAGTTTTTTAACATGAAGAAAGGCCAACAGTGATTAATCATTAACAAGTGTCTAATTTGTTTCTCCATGTGCTCAATGTAGTCTCCTGCTGGGGCAGTCTGGTGTATTTCCTGTCTGGGCTATGGAGTGCCCACTGGTGATCAGACAGGGCTGTCTTTTTAAATACATCCATAATGTCTCCAAGTATAGATGCTGGAATCCTATAGGCCAGTGTTTCTCAACCTCAATCAGTAATGTTTAGATGCTGGCTGGGGAATTCTGGGAACTGAAGTCCACGCATCTTAAACTTGCTGAGGTTGAGAAACACTGCTCTAAACAAATGTCTGGCTATTTTTTTCTTGGCAAATGCGACTAGAAGCATGAAAGATAGGGTGAGATTCATTATATTAAGCACGCCCATCAAAACAGGTAT